CTAGATATGTATTTCCTTATAAAGAAACCAATAATAATTTAGTAGTATTAGTAACTGTTTACTAGTATATATATATATATATATGTACAGTAAGTCTTTATCACTTCTTCAAGTTGGACTCTCACAAGTCATTTAAGATAAACTATATTTACAATATTTATAGGTACCAGTTATCTTAAAGATTTTCCTAATACTTTATTTATTACTTAATTTATCAAACGTAAACCTTTTGACCAAAATCTGTTATACATATACACACACATGTACCCATGACACATCAGCAAGTGTCCTTGAATAATGCTCCAAACACAGTTTATTTTTCAAACGCATTTCACCTATACATCATTACCCTCAATTCCCTAACAAGCTAGTTCTGTCTCTAAAAAAGACCAAAAAATCTGACTAAACCAGGTCAGCTCCAGGTATACAGTACTATTGCTGGAGATGAAAATATACTATATTAGAGGTACAGTTTGGCAATCCCATGCTGACAGAAAGGTGTCACGTGGAAAGAAAAATTAATTGAGGCCAAAGAGAATTACGGAAAGCTGAGTGATAAAAGAATGGTTAGAAAAGTGGGTCATACCATGATATATTTGTACATCAAACATATATGCATTCAAATTAACTAACAAGCAGTGTTTTAAACAATTTCTATGAAAACTGGTGAATATCTAATATACAATGTATAATTCAGTTTATAATAGAATAAATAATGTACTACAAAGGTTCAAGTAATTGATATTTTTTATAGATTAAGTTAACAAATTTCAGAAATAATTTATTATATAATTCCATATCTTTTAACTGTGTTTTCACAATTCGTTTTATTTAATCAATTAATGAATTTCACAAAACAAAGTTGTTTATTATAGAAATGTATTGTTTGATACAGTTTATAAACACAATATGACTATTTTCAATATCAACATTAAAATAAATGTAATATTTTGTCACAATAATTTCTGTCCATCAACCTCAGAGCTAAAATATTTGTGATGCACACTATAAATTATGATTTGGTCAGTACATTATTTAAGCTATGATCCATTATGGATTAGAGAAATGTATTACGTAATCAGTTATTTTCAAAACCTAATATTAGTAGTATTGCTAACAATAACGTTATACCATCAATTTCAAAATGAAATATAATTTTAATCCATAACGACTTATTCTGAAGGCTTAAGATTATGTAATTTTAGTTTTACCGGCGTCACTCAGTCAAGGCTTTCCCTGTAAGTGTAATCTGTAAAGTAATTTATAGTAAACAGTAAAATGTCACCGAATGTCACACTTTGAGTTTCACTCAAAGAGAACGGTATATATTAAAATTATTATTGTGTTTATTACAATAAACTTACTAGCAGTTTAATATCATTACCTAATAAAACGTTGTTTCTACATTTTGGCCGTTTCATAACATGAAAAATAAAACTTAAGTTAAGACCCATCCACATCTTTTCACTTACGTTACAATAAGTGCGCCATCTATGGACTGATTTTATGTGTAACATCTTTTAGCTGAAGTCTAAATGATATAAACATACAGTGTGCTTATAAGTTTGTTTTATTTTTGATATTAATACAAAGCTACAAAAGGATTATCTGCGTTAGCTGTCCATATTTTAGAACTGGTAGACTAGAGGTTTATTCCTTAAGCTCTTCTAAGCGAATAATGAAATTTGATAATGCCTCCATGGCTCAAGTGCGAAGCAATATGTTTTCTTACGGCAACAAGACACTAACCATGAGCCCTTGTACTTACAATATTTAATTTCTTATTTATTATACTTTTGTTTTATCCAGACTATATACTTAATTTATGGTTTAATTTTGAAATAAAGGACAAAACTTAAATAAACTAAAACAACCTAAGCTCATCAATTACTTGTGAATTTAATAAAGACCAAAGTATTAAACTCTGTATTGAGCTAATTTTTTATTTTTAATAAGATTTACAATTTCCATGCACAATATAGCCATTTGTCAAGTTTTATATATCTTGTATGTTAGTAATTAAGCATAAAGCAACACAATGGGATCACCACGCTGAACCAATATGGGCGTCTTATATTGACATATTTAAAACAAAGCTACATATATGGCCCGGCATGGCCAAGTGGTTAGGGGCGCAGGTTCGAATCCACATTCCACCAAACATGCTCGCCCTTTCAGCCGT